ATGGGTGGTAGCTGGTGAGGAGAGTCAAAGAAGGTTTTCTTTGTTTCTATTTTGTTTTTAGATGGCACTTATTATGTCACGTTTATATGCAGATGATGGCCAGTCTAGTGGTTAAGATCAGGTGCTCTCACCGCCGTGGCCGTTTCGTTTTTGGTCAGGGAAGCACACCCACCCATCTGTCAGTGGTCATATTGTGACAGCTGCATGTGGCTGTGATACTGAAAGCTATGCCACCAGTATTTCAAATACCAGCAGGGTCACCCATGGTGGACAGGTTTCAGCAGAGCATCCAGACTAGAAAGACGAGGAAGAAGGACCTGGCCACCCACTTCCGAAAAAATGGCCATGAAAACCCTGTGAATAACAGCGGAGCACTGTCTGACAGAGCCGGAAGGCTGGTGAGGCTGGTGAGCAGCGAGGCTGCCCCACACACTTGTGGGGACAGTCCTCTGAGGACCGTGTGACAGGGAATTAGAAGGCGACAGTAGAAAGATTCAGTGATAAGTGCAAGTAACAACAATTAGTGCAAACTCCCTGAAGGTCCTGCCCAGGTCTGCTAAGGCAATGGGCTGTGATGAACTGACCAAAGACGTGATGGAGACTCAAGCACGTGCCCAGGGAATCCCTTCACATGCACCCACAGACACATGCATGACACACTCGCACTTGCACCGACGCACACACGTACACACACACGTGCACCAGGAACTGACCAAGAGCAGGGCCGTCATCTCATCCCCCCGCCCCTGCTGAGTAAATCACAGGTCCACTGATGAGCTGTCATCCTATGCCCACTACTCTCTTGGGACCTTGACACTCCGCTAACCACTGACCAGGAATTAATGCACTATCCATGCTTTTCTGAGACTTTAACGATGACTTCAGGTTAGAAGGAATAAGGAAGCTAATGAAGCTCATTCCAGGCCTTCATGCTAACATTGTGTTCATAAGGTTTAACTCCTAAAACTATTTCTTTAAATGCAGAAATAATTTTTTTTCTTTCCTAGCTCAAGTCTGCAAAATTCAACTGCTTTAAGAAAGATCATATTGGAAGTCAATGAGAGACTGTGAATTCATCTTAAATGAATATATTATAAAGAATGCTTTAAAAACTGACAGTCACTTGCAAACAGTCTCAAAACAATTATATCATTTCCCCTGGTGCACGCAGGAAGTAAATTTATTCTAGAAGCAGGAGAACAAGTACCCTCCATCATGTGAGGCAGAAATGTTCTCCATGGAAACCTGCTACAGATGCAGACGATCAACCCAAACACTGTGGTTCTGAGGAGAAAGGGTCTTACATAGAGGCAGAAAATCAAGCAGAACTCAAACCAATTTGGGAACCTCTTTGATCACAGGCCTCCACCACAGCTGTTCTCCTCTCGTCTGTCCGTCTCTCTCACACCAACTTGTGCATGTACACACGCACACACAGTCTCTCTTTCTCAGGGAAACTGCACACTCATACTGACAAGTTTACCTTCTCCAGGTTAACTAAGTGATAACTGGGCAGGTGCCCCAGGGCTGTCGGGTGAATGGCCTGAAGCAACAGGGAGTCATTAATCCTGTGACTGACTCTTAAAACAGTTGAAGTTAGAAGAATACAGCCCCATTTTCTTAATGGAAATAGTGACAAGAAAGAGACAGGGAGCCGTTTTTAAAGGCTCTCCTGTTTCACCTGCCTCTCAGCTGGGGCCGTGGACCAGCCGAGCTCCCTTCCATCCCCCTGGGTCACCCTCTCTGCGGGCAGCACCTAGTGCTGTGGGACAGAAGAGGGAGTTCTCCGTGGGGAAGACCACCACTCCCCGTTGGAAGGCCAGCCTGCCCGCCCACCCCACTCCAGTAACAGCTTCCCCACGGCACCTCCCCTGGGGAGGCTCATTTTACTGAGCCCATTCTGAGCACGGGAAGCTGAGGCATGGAGCTTGTCCAAGTACTGGAGGAGAAAGGGGATTTGAACTCTGATCACTCAGACCCCAGAGCGTCTATGCCACATCAGCCGCCACATAAGGCACATTTGACAGGTGAACACAAAGGTCAGAAGTGATGCTCGAGATTTCAAGCTGGACGGTATTTCCACTGGAGAGTATTTGGAGGAGATGGTATTTGAGCTGGGCTTGAAAGAGTGAGGAGAATTTCAGCAGACCAGAGGGAAGGTGCAGAAACAGGAGAGGCACAGGAGCAGGGCTCACAGCGGGGGAGGAGCTCAGCCAGTGTGGGCGGGAGGGTGGAAGGAGGGACTAACTGGTAACGAAAAGAGGGAGGTTCCCCGAGGTTCTGCCACCTTCAGAACCTCATGTCCTAAAGCAACAGGGAGTCATTAATCCTGCAACTGACTCTTAAAACAGCTGAAGTTTAGAAGGAAAACAGGCCCAGCAGGACGCAGGGGATGATGACCCAGCCCTGTGCAGGGCCTCAGCCTGAGCAGCACCACGGCCAGCGACCCAGCCAGCCAGGTCAAGGATCAAGCCTCTAATGACAGGTCCTGAAGAAAGAAGGCAAAAGAAAAAGGGAGAGCATCCCGGGGAGAAGGAGGCTCTGGGCTGGTGACCAGAAAGCACCTGGGGAAGTTCGGGACAGAAACTACATGGAAGGAGCTACCACATTATGTTCCAGGGCTCGGTTATGCTGTGGTTTCTGCAAGTCAAACACTGACAAAGATGAAGAAGAAGTAAGTCCAGTGCAGACACTGGTGTCTGACAAGCTCCGCTCAACTGCCAGCCACCTCTGTCCCCCGACACAGGCGAGAGAACTGGGAATACGACGTTCGAGTCCGGGAGAGCACTCCTGGGATGGAGGCGGATGGAGAGACCCAACCAGTGGGTCAACAAGGGTGCAGACATGGTTCTGAAGGCTTTCTCTGAGTGGCCGGGATGGGGGGGGCCGGAGGGGTGTCTGATGTGTCCTGATCATTCTGGCACTAATCAAGATCACCATTAATTGTAAAGATCAATGACATTACCAATGGCTATCTTTAATAAGACATAACTGCCTAACAATTTCTAGGTCACAAAGCATTTGTACTTCTATTTCAGATGGCCTAGTCAGGGAAAAGTATGTATAAAGTATGTATTATTTTGCAGATTAGGACAAACTACGACTTAAAAGAGTTATGAATGGGGCCGGCCTGATGGTGCAGCGGTTAAGATCCTGCGATCCGCTTTGGCGGCCCAGGGTTCACAGGTTCAGATCCCGGGAGTGGACTGACATACTGCTTGTCAGGCCATGCTGTGGCGGAGTACCATATAAAGTGGAGGAAGATGGGCTGGTCCAGGACGCCCCCACATCCCCCGCTCCCCGCCAGTCCAGGACACTGGTGACACAAAATGAGATAAACTGTCCTTTTCTTCATGTGCGCTAAGGGCAGGCCACAGACAGAACTGCATAAATGTTACTCAGAGATTCTTTGATGAGCTATTGTTCAGTTTTTGAAATTATAAAATTAAAATTTTCAAATAATTTTTATAGGGTGTGAAGTAGATTAGTTTAAGCCCAAAGTTATATTTGGAACTATGTCTGCCCCAGAACAAGTTACTTACTATCTCCGAAGCTAAGTTTTTGACTTCTGAAAATGTTCCCAATGGGACTTGGCTACAGTGTAGCTGGTGGGCTCCTGGTGGGCCAGCCATGCTCTCTGCTCTCAGTCTCCCAGAAGGGGCTCCCACCAGATGGGCTCTAACCTTCTGTGATTCCCTTTGAACAGTAGGGTCTAAAATGAGGGCTACAGGGGCCAGGCAGGTGACCTCTGAGTGTGACAAGATTAGGTGTATGCAGGGTTTCTCAATCTCAACACTATTGGCATTTTGGTCATTTGTTGTGAGGAGGGGTATCCTGTGAACTACAGGATATTGAGCTGCATCCCTGGCCTCCACCCCCAGGTGCCAGCAGTACCACTCCCAATCGTGCTAATCAGACAGGGCCAGGTGTCTGCTGGGGCATAAGCGCCCTGCTGGGAATCCCCAGTGTGGGTGGGGGTGGTATTCCCTAGGCTGGCTGGCGAGTGCAGAGCCCACCTGGACCCCTCCTCAGCCTTCACAACCCCGCTCTCCACACACTCACACATGGATTCAGCATCACTGAAGAAGATGCTCAGGCCATCTGATCAGCCAGGCCAGGGTTGGGTCTCTGAACTTCTTTACCCACTAACTCTATGACCCTCTCACTCCACTTGTCCGTGTGTTGTAGGGCACAGTGACGTGTCAGTAGGCAAGCAATTAGAAAGTGCAGAGTAAGCACCACAGTATCTGGCCATCCACATTCATGGAGCGCCTGCTAGTGATTTAGGGAAGACGCCACTTCATACTGGGGTTCCCTCTTTCTGTCAGTCACATCCTATAGACAACAATGAAAGGGTATCTCCGTAGTTACCAGACAGGAACAATCTATTCAATGGGAAACTCTATAGAAAACCGATAAAATTCTCTCCCCCTCAGGCATGTTAATAGGTCCTCCCTGTTGGGGCAGCAGTTCCTCTAAAGGTTTCTCATCTGGCTTCCACCTCTGCCCCTTCCTTCCCCTGAGGCGAACTTATAAACACCCACCAATAATATCACCTTTTATTCTTGCTTAAGAAAGCTGACAGAAAAGGCAACTTCCCTAGTATTTTAGCTTTTCCATGGAAATGCCTTGACAAAAAATTTCAATTCATGTAAAGAAATGTGAGCAGAGTGTGGCTATTTTACAGGTGCAAAATGGTGCCTGACTAAAATAGCCAAGGAAAAGAGCCAAGTGCTTCTGGTCAGACTGTTAGAAAGAGCAATGCCCCCAGCTATGGCATAACAGTTTTCACTTGCGTCTCAAAACAAAGAATCGATTGCCCTATTGGGCATGTTAACAAAACAGAACGTGGAGAGATGCCGAAGGTCCGCCAATGTGCCCAGCTCCACACTTTATTCGTAAGATACCCAGCCTGGAGCAGATACGCACGGCTCCTCCTTTGCTGGATGGGTACCTGCACGCCTGGCAGCCAAGAGAACAGAACCACAAGCACGCCATACCTGTCGTGTCTCAGAGCTCTCATGTCAACGTAGACAGTGGTTGGGTCAGGTCCCGAGGTCCCCTGCAAGCAAGGACACAGTGCAGTTAACCAGGTTTGCATGGCAGGAATGCGGGTCTGCACTTCCTACCAGCTAGTGAGCATTTCCTTGGTAAAATCTGAAACTGAACCAAAACTAAAAGCACTAAAACCACCCTCTCCAGGATCCCTGTTAACTTTCAGTCTGATAACCTAAATCTTGACAGGAACATCTTATTAGGATAATACTGGACTTTCACACAGCTTGACTGTCAATCCCATTGACAAAGACAAGAAAAGAGGTGTGCCACACGTCTTGCCAAATAAAAGAAGGTTGGAACTGCTGTGACAACATTTGGCTGGCAAAAGCAGGCTGCCAAGGATATAAAGCATCATTTGCTGAGAAATTTTTACTACATGTACCCAAAAAGGTATATTTTTAGAGTTCAAGATACTGAAACAGACACGTGACATGAACTGACAGATTAAGGAGGAAGAGAAAAAAGACTATTATCTTATTCTTTAGTTCCACTTGGGCCCTGACTTTCCTCCTGCTGAGGGAGGTTATCCTTATCCATGACGTAGGTCGGGGGGCTTTGTGTTTATCGCAAGTCAGCGGGCAGCACTCTGCAGTCTGAGCTATCTGACTATTTAACATGGGGGTCCAGAAATCTGATCTTGGCACCATAAATCCCCTCACAACATATGCCGAGTTGACTTCTGACCACGGATCTCTGTCCACATAAGAGCAACATCATTAAAGCCACCTTACAAGCCAAAATTCTACATACATTTCTTGTGAAGGCAATGCAATACGTTGTGTAAGAAAAGATGGAACCTAAAACAAATTTGCCAAAAAATAAGGGAGCTCCTCAGAATTTATTTGAAGAACGACACTGAACTCTTCAGAAGAGAATCTTAATTTTGTACCAAAGGCATGTTTAAATATAAGAAAAAGATAAAAATGAAGACACCTTCAGTAAAACATAACATCCTGCTCAATAGTTCAGGTCATTGGTATCTCACCACCAAGACAGAGAATGCATGTGCAATCAGCCTCTAGGTGGGAGCTCACACTATGGTATAACGCAAAGAACGTTCTCTCTAACCTACGACTTGAGTGGAGCCATGTTACAGACTAGCACTGAGTGGAGACATGGTTTGATGTTCTAAGTAATGCAAAACACATAACCATAGAAGGCCAATTAAAAAAATAAACCAGAAAACAGGTCACTAAAAGTGGAAAAGAAGTAAAACAAGATGACCCCAAACTGGCCAAGAAACCACTGATTGTGTACAATGGAAGTCCAGTGTCTGTCACAAGCGTGGAACGTTTGAAGAGATCTGAGAAAGGACATCCTGCTGGCCGTCAGTCCTCCTGACCACATGGTCTATAATCCCCCAGTCAATCTCTGCACTCAACTTCTAGTCTGTCCACTGCTGGAAGCTGTCAAGACGGAGGTAGGTAGGGACGCACCGGTGAGGATGAAGAGGAAAATCCCCTACCTGCTCGGCCAGCTTCCACAGCCTGTGGGGCTACAGCAGCAGGAGGTGGGGAACAGAAGAAAGGAGAAGACACCAGACCAAAAGAAACCAAAGGTAAACAACACACAGAGACACATAAACAAAACAATCCAACAATTAAATATGGGATGAAGAAAAGGAGGGGCAGGGAGGAGAATGCAAAAAGCAGGGAACAAAGTAAAAAGAAGATCAAAAACAATGTCAAATACGGAAATCATTAAAACCAATCATTGTACCATTAAAGGTTAAAAAAATCTTAAAAAGATGTCAACATATCCATAGAGCAACAGAAGAGAGTAATAGATGACCAGCCCTGGACACACAGACCTGAACATTATTTTAATACTTGAGGTCAATGGCATTACTGGATAGTTCAATTTTACGGTACTTTTTTTAAAGTTTCTTTTCTGTTCTGAGGGAATTGGGGAATAAGAATTTTATTGGCCAAATCTGTTGAGTGCTCCTCACTGAAGTAGTTCCAAGTCTCCTATTACAATAACGGAGGGGAACCTGGAAGCTTCTAGGTCTAAAATCTGGGTGTCTGGCCCTGCTCATCTACAAGATGAGGTACAAGCAAGAGGCCAAAGTACACGTGAAGCATGAAGGAGCCAAACCTTGGGCTTGAGTGTGGTCTAGCTCAGCAGTCCAGAGAGGGATTTCCACTGAAGGGAGCATCCTATGTCAACCCTCACAGCTGCTGCCCCAAAGACACTCCGTCCCATTTTCCTCTCATCTCCCACGGTTTTGGTACCCACGTCCACCCCTGTTAAATTACCTACTTGGCACGGTGGAAAGGCTCCAGAAAGCAACTCGGGCAAGCTCCCTTGATGCAGTGTATTTCCCTAGGTGACAGGGTGTCTTTTCCAAATATTCCCAGAAATGTACAGAAGTAGTTATCCTCTGGGCACCTGGACTGATGCACGCCACTCTGCGTGCGCATGGCCTAGTGCCTGCCCCAGTCTCTACAATCATATTACTAGGTGGACCCCAGAGATGACAACGGCAGCAATAAAGAGGAAGTTCTTAACTGGGTTTCCTGGGCCTGCAAGTTGGTATAAATGAAGCCAGACTAAAAAACTACCACCACTCAACTTGGAGGTGAGTCTATCAAAAAGCAGTGGTTCCAGATTTTAACATTATGATTCCTTCACGCTCTCTGTTACTTCCTTTAGGATGGAATTATGGCTACTGCTTTCTTCTGTATCTTTAGAAAACTGAGGCAGGACTCGAAGAAAGGGAAGGATGGGCTCAGGAACGGTGTGTGCACTGTGAAGGCACACAGGACTTTTACTACATCTATTCAAGCTGAATGCAATGATCTGAATAATTTCCTTCATGATTCCTTGAATCCCAAATACTAACAAGAACAAAAATAAACCAATGTTCTAAATTATTCTAATTCATAAATTTTGTTACAATGGCTCAAAGTAGTATCTCAGAAAAATAATACGTCTGACTGGGAACTAATTTCCTATCTTGTAGATGTGTGGAGGAGATAACAGAGCATCTGCAGCAAAACTGGTCTACTGCATTAATAAGGAACATGGAGGAGGAGATAAAGAGTTAACATATAGGTATTTCCAAATTTTAAAACCCCTAAGGTACAAAAATTTGAGATTTCAAGATACGTATTAGGGAGTGCATATTTAACAAAATCTTCACTTTGCCAAAGAATGCAAGCCGTAATTCCTTTGAATAAGGAGATCCCTAGTATATGGAAATGCTCCCAAGTATTTAAGGATCATCAAATACTTGTAGACAGGACCAGCAGGAAAGCAAAGTTATCCATTCCAATCAACGCTTATTAGAAATGAAGACAAAAGACATTTGAAATTGCAAGTTATATAAATTGGAAAAGAGGATGAACTTTAAAGTTCAGTTATATAATAAAGAGTTACATATGGACATACTTATAGTAAGAAATCATGTTTTCTTATTGGTATAAAAGTATCATACCAGTTAGGTTTTAAATACTTATTGAACAAGTGAGTTATATTTAAATTTCAGCTGTGGATACACAGACTCACATGCCAAACACAGCACAGGAAATCCAGCACAGCACATTCTAACACTCGAGCGATTCACATACTATAGTATTAGTACCATCTAACGTTAGCACACGACTCCTTCCGCATAAGTGACGAACTCTAAGTAGAAACGTGTGAAATGAAGACAATTCCGAAGTGCTGCTGTTGGGCATATCTACCATGCCGGCCGTCTGAGGAGTCAAGGAAGGTGGCGGAGCCAGTTTCTGCAGGAGAGGGTTCCTGGGTCTACGTAGCAGTCTTGGGCCGTGGCACAGGGGTTCGTCACTGGGCCATTTCAGCAGGTGAACTTTAAGCAGTGTTACTGCCTGCATGACCTCAAGCTACTCCTAGCAGATCTGTGCATTAACAATGATCTTTTCAACATTTTAATTGAGGTATAATTTACATACAATGAAATGCATAGATTTTAAGTATCAGTTACATGAACTCTGACAACTGTATACACCCATGTAACTAACACTCCAAACAGCATAGAAAAGTTCCTTTACCCAGGTACTGGGTCAACCAATCTCCATAACTCCCACAAGGCTACAACTTTCTAACACCATAGATTAGTTTAACCTATTCTTGGGCTTCACATAAATGAAATAATACAGTCTGTATTCTTTTGTGTCTGGCTTCTTTCACCGAACGTAATGCTTTTGGATCCATCCATGTTGTTGTTTGTACTAGTAGCTTGTTCCTTTAAATTCTGAGAAGTATTCTATTGCACGTATAATACCATAATCTATTTATCCATCCTGCTGTTGTTGAATTTGGGTTATTTCTAGCTTGGGGCTATCATGAAAAAGCTGCTATAAACATTCTTATACAAATAGGTTTGTAGACATGTTTTAATTTCTTTTGAGAACATACCTAAATATGCTGATTCACAGGGCTGAAATGCATTTAACTTTATAAGAAACTTAAATCACTCTTGAAACCAGTAACGGATTAGGGTTTTTGTTGCTCCACATTCTCGTGGACGTTTAGTATTGTCAGCCTTTTTGATTTTAATTATTCTAGAAGGTGAGAAATGGAATCACCATGTAATTTTTTCTTGTAGTGAAAATCACAATTTCAATATTGGTCCCGCACGTTGTGCTTTCACTTCTATCACTTCCTTGGAGCTAATCAGCAAAGGGTGGAAGGACCTTTGGGAACTGTGCACAATATGGAAGACTTCACTCATCTGCATGTCACCCTGTGCAGGGCCATGCTAATCTTCTCTGTATGGTTCTAGTTTTAGTACACGTGCTGCTTAAGTAAGCACACCATGTCATTTTAATGAGCATTTCCCTGATGATTAATGATGTTGAACATCATTGCATGCACTTATTGGTCATTGGTATATCTTCTTTTGTGAAATGTCCATTCAAGTCTTTTGTCTATATTTTTTCATAAGGTTTTCTATTGTCAATTTATAGTTTTTTTATATATTCTGAATAGAACTCCTTTGTCACATATATTATAACAAATATATTTTCCTGGTGTGTAATTTTTCTATTAATCTTCTTAAACATAGTAACTGAATTTAACTTTGATGAAATCCAGTCTATCATATTTTTTTTATGGTTAGTGCTTTTAGTGTCCTTAGTGTCCTAAGAAATCTTTACGTATCTGAAGTCATGAAGATATTCTGCTATGGTTTCAGCTGGAAGCTTTATTCTAGAAATTTTATCATAGACATTTAGGTCTATGATCCATCTAGAAATAACTTTTGTGTATTGTACAAGAAGGGATTAAGGTTACTTAATTTCCATTTAATCTTCAGTTGTTCCAAAACTATTTGTCAAAAAATGTTTTCTTTCCCTATTGAATGGACTTGGTGCCATAGTGGATCTATTTCTGGATTCTTTTTTTCTTTTTCAGTTTTTCTTTGCTTTTGTTGTTGCTTTTTTCTCTATTGGTCTCTCTTCATGCCAATATCACATTGTCTTGATTACTGTAGCTTTATAGTGAGTCTTGAAATCAGGTAGCCTAAGTCCTTCAACACTGTTCTTTTTGAAGACTGGTTATTCTAATTCCTTTGCAATTCCATAACTTCAGAATCATCTTGTCAAATTCTTCAGGAAGGCCTGCTGTGATTTTGATTGAGATTGTATTGTATCTATTGATCAATCTGGAGGAAAAAAGTCATCTTAAAAATACTGATTCTTCCACTCCATGAATATGGTAAATTCCTTCATTTACTTAAGATTTCTTTAATTTCTCTCAGCAACATTGTGATTTTTAGTGTACAATTTTCATTTCATTTATTCTTAATTACTTGTGGCTTTTTGATATTACTCTAAATGGCACCGATTTTTAAAATTTCATTGTCTAGCTATTCACTGCTACTCTATAGGAATAGAATTAATTTTTATGTATTAATCTTTATTTCAAGCTCTTGTTAACTTCACATATTAGCATTTGTAGTTTTTGTAGTTCCATAGAGGTTTTTACATGCACAATTGGGCTGTCTGCAAATAATGACAAGTTTTACTTCTTCGTTTCCAATATTTGTACTTTTTATTCTTTTTTTCCTTGTCTTGCATTGGCTAGGACTTCAATATGGTGCTGATGTTCCTGATTTTAGGGAATATCAGGGAAAAAGCTCTCAAAGTGGATTTTAGGAATTTTAGGGAAAAAGCTCTCAAAGTGGATTATTAAGTATGAGGTTAGCAACAAGCTTTTTGTATACACTTCTTAGATTGAGGAAGTTCCTTGTCTTCCTAGTTATCCCATGAATGGGTGTTGAATTCTATCAAATGCATTTCCTGCATCTATTGATACAATCATATGATTTTTCTCCCTCATTCAGTTAACGTGGTGAATCAGAATGATTGGTTTTCGAACAATAAAGCAACTTTGCAGTCCAGAGATAAAACCTGCTTGGTTATGATGCGTTACCCTTTTATATATTGATGGACTCAATACACTAATATTTTGTTGAGAATTTTTTTTCATGTGGGATTCGGCCTGGAATTTTCTTTTCTGGGAATG